AGGAAAAGACAAAACAAATGAAGAAGAATAACCATTTAAGTATATTGTGTAAATGAGTTTTTGAAAAAACATGAACTGATGCATCTAACTTCCTTTTTTTTTTTTGTCTATATTAATGAGTATAACTAGGTTATATTTTATATAACTATGTTTAAAGAATACAATTTTAAAATTAACATGCAATAATAACTGAACTGAAAGATTATTCTACATTTTTGCTTCGGAAGATTACTATTCTGTAATATCATTGCAATGGCACGAGAATACAAGAAAATATGAAATTTTATTTTAAAAATGATTGCATGTGAACCCAACCACATAGAGTTGCAATAAAAGTGAAGAAAGGAAATAATCTAACACTCACATGAAACTTGTACAACATAGATCATGTATATATAGTTTATTGTCTCCAATAGCTTAACAAGAGCTTCTGGGGTTTATATTCGTAGCTTTCATGCTTTTGATATCAACATATTTCTTTTCTCATGTTAATGATATATGTGCAAAACCTTTTGATATCAACATATTTCTTTTCATTTGCAATAATATTCTCCAATTGGACACTTGTATTTTGTTATTAATTTTTTTATTGTTGTAAAATTGTTATTGATGATGTTTTCACCTATTTATATTTTTTTATTTGATGTTATGCATTTAAGTTGTCATTGATGTTGCTATTTGAATTTTTGTTTCAGCCTCAAGATTTGAGCTCTCCTAACGGAATCAGGCCTTCCTCTTCTGCTAGCCATATACCAAATGCACAAAGACCAACTTCACCTGAACTTCATAATCAAGGACACCCACCTCCTCCATAGTTATCCTTTTTATGTTTTCCAGAACATTATCACCCATGACATTTTGGTGATGGTTTTTGTAATCTCTTTTTTATGGTTAACTTTTATATTTTGGAGTCTATTTGTCGGGGTGAATCTATGACATTTTAGAAGTGTTATGACAATATTTCTTTAACTGACAATTATATACGTCTTTTATATTAGAGGTTTAAAATTATTAGAATTTGGTGCAAGTGGTTAGATGATTATTTTAGAATAGTCTATTGATTTTTTTTTTTTTAGTTATTTTAGAATTTGGTGCAAGTGGTTAGATGATTACTTTAGAATAGTCTATTGGTAAATAATATAATGATTTTAATTTTAATTATGGATGAAAAGCAAAGAAAATTTTAATTTATTTATAAGTTATATATTGGATTACAAAAAATTTAAAATTCAAACTTTTTTCCATTTACCATTCCTAATAATTATATATATAATTATATATATATATATATATATGTATATATATATATCAAATTATTTAAAAAGTAAATGGTAAGTTTAAAATTTTAATTTATTAATATTAATTTTTTTTAAAATAAAAATTATTCTATTTATTTGACAATGTTTAGCTAACAGTGAATATTGCAATATTTTTTTACAAAATTCTTAAAAAATAAAATATATTAATTTTAATATATATATATATATAATAAAATTTGTATAATTTTCTCACAAAAAAAATTGTATAATTCAACGACGTTTATAAACTGCCTTCGAATTCTTATTCCACGACGTTTAATGAACCGCCTTTGAATTCTTATTCAACGACACATAATGAACCGCCTTGGAATGCTAATTGCACGGCACCTATCAAACCGTCTTTGAATACTTATTCCACGACGTTTAATGAACTGCCTTTGAATTCTTATTCAACGACACATAACGAACCGCCTTGGAATGCTATTTCCACGACGTTTCATCAATCGCCTTTGAATTTATATTCAACGACACCTAGCAAACCGCCTTTGAATTCTTATTCCATGACAGTTTTCCAACCGCCTTAGAATATTTATCGATTTCTTTTAAGGATGTTCTAAGACCTTGATAACCATTATAGAAACCGCCGTTGAATTCTGCTTCGTCGATTATTCCGGCGGTCAGTTAAACCGTCGTTGAATTCCATCTTGACGGTGGTAACTACGACAGTTGGTTAACTGCCGAAATTGGAATTCGAAGGCGGTTTGAACCGTCGTTGAATTACTTATTAACCACCTCTGTATACCTCTTTTCTTGTAGTGGTACTTGTCTCTATAATATGACTATCTTGAACATTTTCTCTTTTCCTTTTTAGAGGAGTTTTGACTTTAGAACCGATTGCTCCTCCATGTTTTAAGTGTGGTTTAGTTTCATTTGCACTAGGCTGTCCTACTGGACATCAATCTGAATTGCAGCATTTACAGCTAGATTATGAGATTTAGTAACTTTTGGTAGGTCATTAAAAGCATCTGGCAGTTGATTCACAATATTTAAATGAATTATCTTTTGAACTTCAAGTTTCATACTATTTTGTGTGAGGATCTAAATGAGATAATAATACTGCATTCCAATCAATTTCCTTTTTCAGTTGTTTATTCTTTCCCCCTAATGTTGGAAAAATTAATTCATCAAAATGACAATGGACAAACCTTGCTTTAAATAAATTCCCTGTCATTGGTTTAATGTATTGTATTATGAAAGGAGATTCATATCCAACATATATTCCTAACTTCCTTTGGGGACCCATCTTTGTGCATTGTGGAGGAGCAATTGGAACATAAACATCACATCCAAAAATTCTAAGATGAGAAACATTTGGCTCCTGATAAGAAGCCAACTGTAATGGGAAGAGCTTTTGATAACTTGTTGGTCTAATGCGTATAAGCGATACTGCATGTAAAATAGCATATCCTCATGCCGGAACAGAGAGTTTTCTTCTCATAAGCAACGGTCTAGCTATTAATTGGAGACATTTAAGGAATAATTCTGCTAAACCATTTTGGGTATGAACATGAGCAAGAGGCTGTTCAACTGTAACTCCAGTTGACATACAATAATCATTAAAAGTCTGAGATGTAAATTCACAGCATTATCAAGATGAATTGTCTTTATTGAATAATTTGGAAAGTATGCTCTTAATCTTATTATTTGAGCAAGCAATCTCACAAATGCTAAATTGCGAGTTAATAATAAGCATACATGTGACAATCTTGTAGATGCATATACTAAAACCATGTGATATCTGGATGGTCCATATGATGGGTGAATGGGTCCACAAATGTCATCCTGTATGCGTTCTAGAAACGAAGGGCATTGAATCCCAACTTTAGCTGGTGATGGTCTAGTAATAATTTTTCCTTGAGAACAAGCAGTATAAAAAAACTTTATTGATTTGAAGAATCTTCTAGTTTTTCAGTGGATGGCCATATGAAGTATCAATTATTTTTCGCATCATATTTGATCCAGGATGACCCAAAGGATCATGCTAAATAATGAAACTATCAAAATTTGTATTTTTTTGATTTAACATGACATATGTTTCATCCATGCCAATATTTGTTTAGTAGATACCGAAAGAAAAGACAGGTAATTTTTCTAATATTCATTTCTTACCTGCTACTTTTGTACTAATATAAAGATATTCAAAATTGTCATCATTTGTAGTTTCTATATAATAGCCATTTTGGCGAATATCTTTGAAACTTAATAAGTTTATTAGGGATTTACTACAAAGTAATGCATCATTTATATTGAATTTGGTGCCCCCAGGTAATAAAACACTTGCTTTTCCGAAGTCTTCAACAAATTTTGTACTACTAGTTATTGTGTTAACATGACCTTCTTCCATTATCCAATAAGAGAAATATTTTTATCTCTTAATATTGTGTGAGTGGTAGCACTATTTGCAAGGCATATATTATCTTCATTGACCTTATGTAAGAACCCACACCGCTAAATTAGGAATTTAATTAATTTAATTATGAGCTAAGAGATAATTTCCATAACTGACCTTGAATAATTATGAGTGAGCTTAAATAATTATGGTAAGTGATTAATAATGTTGAAAGTCGTTTTTCTGACGAAAAGTGCAGATACCTGTTCTGCTTCGCGGTATAAGTGCGTACTGGTGAAGTATCCCAAAAAATTATAATAAATGCATGAATATTCCTATATTAATATTTAGGACTAGTATGTCAAGTTTGGAGTCAAAATAATGAGAACTGGTGTCGGAACTAATACCGACAGCGAGAAAAACGCGTACCGGAAAAGTGTTGCGAAAAAACAAAATAAATATATGAAAATTCCTAGAAAAATATCTAGGTTAGGAATCTAAAATTTTGGAGCTAAACGAAGAGAGAAACTAATTAAACTAATACTGTTAGTTTAACTTAAGTGACAATATAAATAAAAAAGGGGATCAAAACCCTAAGTTTTTTAAAAGACTCAGCAGCTGAGTGTGGCAGCCATTTGGGGGTTTTATTGGAGTCTTAGTCTTCTCCCTTGAAAAGTCTCCAAAGTTTCCATCTTTTTCCTCCTCTCCTCCATTGAAACATCACCCAACCATTAAAGCTCTAATCTTGTTGAAGGAGAACCCAATGTTGAAGGATTTGGGTGTTTTCTCTACCTTTCACGCTTTCATTTTTCTGTTCTCAAAAAGATCTAACGTGAACTTAACTATTCCCTGTAAATCCATAAATTGATTATAAACATTGTTATATGTTACAATAGCATTTCAAAAATGTCGGTGCGCTATTTTTATTCGGTTAGAGGGCCATTCATTTTGTCATTTTTATATGTTTGAGCTTCATCGATTTGCGTGAATTTACAATGAAGATTCTGCACTTTTGATACGGGAGCTGGTAGCAGGCCCAAAAGCAGGAGAATGGTTGGGGCCCCTTTATGGGCCAAAGATTATGTTAGCAAGTTTTAGTGAGTCCATTAAGCTTGTTAGGCATGAGTGGGTTATCAGATAAGAACTGTTTAGGAGTTAGGGATGCTAAGATACGTGTAATAAATAGTACCTTGTTGTCATTTGGATATTCATTCTGAAAAATATACATGTTCTCCTTCGTTCCTTTAGGGTTTTCTCTCCCAAATTCACTGTTTTACTGCTGATTCTCCATTAAGGGTTCGCGTCCCTTAACACTGGTGCTTTCATTTTTTGAGCTCCTTTGGCAATCCAAAATGTGGGTTCAAGAATTGGCTGAAGAGTTTGGATCTTTCCAACTTAGAATTGAGCGTAATTTTGAGGAGTTGCAATCGAGGGTGGATCAACGATTCATCGATCATCAAAACCAATTCCTCGGCATCAACACACAACTTCAACAAATTCATGCGGTGGTGGTTGGGGCTAAGGCTCGCAGCACAGAGCAAGTTCATTCGAAGGGCGTCAATGCATCGTCTTCTACTGAGTCTGGAAGCATGCATCCACAACGCTTGGACCTTAATGATCCTTGCTCGTGGCTGAAATCCGTGAGGATGGAGCTTCCAAATTTCGCTGGCACATATCCGAATGGGTGGATTTTTCGCACGGAGTTGTATTTTGGGTTACAGCAAGTGCCGGAGAACATCAAGGTTCGTTTGGCGGGGATGAAAATGGAGGGATTGGCTAGTCCTTGGTTCCAATGGTTGTTCAATGGTGGATCCATTCAGTCTTGGGACGATTTGAAGGTCGCGGTTCGTCAACGGTTTGGGGGTACTGCCTATCAGGATTTACGTGCTGTTCTTTCGAAGTTAACTCAGGAGGGGACATTGAGTGAGTATATCAGAAACTTTGAGGCTTTGATTAATCAAGTCACTGAGTTTTCTGATGAGGTGTTGATGTGCTTTTTTGTCTCTGGATTGTTGCCTGACTTGAGAAGAGCCATCCAACTTCACTCTCCTACTTCACTCCATCAGGCTATGCAACTGGCCATTACCTATGATGCACACTTCGTGGAGTTGCGTTCGTCATTTTCTTCGGGTAGTAAGAAAGGTTTTGTGAAACATGCTTATAATGTGGAACAGCCAAACCCGATTGCTACTGTGTTACCTAACCAGAAGCCTGTGGTTCCTGCTCTGCCTTCTTCTTCTGTGCCTTATTGCAAATTGTCTCATGAGGAGATGCAAAAGAAGCGAGACTTGGGAATTTGTTACACATGCGATGAAAAATGGAATTCTCGACATAGATGTAAGGGCAAACTGTTTCTGTTGCTTGGTGATTCTGAGGAATTGGACACTGAGGCAGAAGAACAGATTGTATGGCAACCTGACCCTGTGCAAGGGGAGTCTCATGAAGCAGCCTTACATTCCTTGGCAGGGAAAAACATCCTAGGGCACTTCAATTCCATGTGGAGTTCAAAGGGAGGTTAGTACCTGTTCTTGTGGATTCTGGTAGCTTTCATTGTTTTATCCAGAAGCGGTTAATTGAGGTTAATGGTTTACTTACTGTCAAAGTACCCAAGATGCGTGTTTTTCTAGGAAATGGAGAGTTTATGACATGTGATAGGAAATGTATGGGTGTGCCATTAAATAACCAAGGGTATGAGTTCTCTGTGGATTTGTGGGTGCTGGAGTTAGCTAATTTGGGCATTATATTGGGAATTTCCTGGTTGAGTACTCTTGGCCGATTTCTCCATGACTACACTGAGATGTCTATGGAGTTTATATTCAAAGACAGCAGGGTAGTGTTACAGGGTGAACATTCTGGTCTGTCCAATAGAGTATTGGATACGAACTGTTTCCATTTGGCAGGTGCAACTGTGTTTGATGTCTCTCCCGAGTTAAGGGAACTGCAATCCAAAATTCCTGCTGCTATATGGGACATATTGGTGCAATTTCACACTGTGTTTCAGCTACCATCTGGGTTGCCACCACCTAGAGGTTGTGACCATGCCATCCATTTGGAGGAGGGTGTGAAGCCTGTTAATGTGCAGCCTTACCGATATGCACACCATCAGAAAGGGGAGATAGAAAAGCAAGTCTCAGATTTATTGGCTTCGGGCTTCATTAAGGAGAGCAGGAGTCCATTCAGTTCACCCGTTTTGCTTGTGAGGAAACAAGACAATTCTTGGCGGATGTGTATCGACTATCGGGCCTTGAATAACATCACTATAAAGGATCGCTTTCCTATTCCCACAATTGATGAGTTACTTGATGAACTCAATGGTGCTAAGGTTTTCTCCAAGTTAGATTTGCGAAGCGGATATCATCAAATCCTTGTGGTTCCGGAGGATACATCCAAGACTGCCTTTAGGACGCATGAGGACACTATGAGTTTTTGGTAATGCCTTTTGGCTTGACCAATGCTCCCTCAACCTTTCAAGCAGCCATAAACCATATGTTTCGCCCTTTTCTTCGTCGGTTCATCATAGTTTTTTTCGATGATATCTTAGTCTACAGTGGCTCTCTTGAGGAACATTATCAGCATCTTACTATCACCTTGGGCTGTCTAAAGCAGAATCAATTTATGGTAAAACTAAGTAAATATGGATTTGCTTTGGCTGAAATTGATTACTTGGGTCATGTGGTTTCCGGAGATGGAGTTAAGGCTGACCCTAAGAAGATTATTGCTATGTTGCAGTGGCCTCAGCCTAAATCTTTAAAACAATTGAGAGGTTTCATTGGCCTCACGGGATACTATAGACGATTCGTCAAGAATTATGCTGCCATAGCCTCCCCTTTGACAGATTTGTTGAAGTCTGGTGCATTTCAGTGGTGTGAGAAGGCTGCAAGGTCGTTTGAGTTGTTAAAGGACACCATGTCAAAGACACCAGTTCTGTTTCTGCTTGATTTCACTAAGCCATTTATTGTGGAAACTGATGCTTCATCAGTAGGCATAGGGGTTGTACTTCAACAAGAAAATCACCCTATTGCGTTTTTCAGCAAAAAGTTGGGTCCAAGAATGAGTGTGGCCTCTACTTATCTTCGGGAATTGTATGTTGTGACTGAGGCAGTGAAGAAATGGCGTCACTATTTGTTGGGTTCCAAATTTGTTATCCGTACTAACCATAGAAGTCTAAAGGAATTGCTCACTCAAACTGTACAGACCCTTGATCAACAAAAATATGTTTGTAAGTTGATGGGATTTGATTTTGTTATAGAATATAAACCTGGTACAGCTAACATTGTTGCAGATTCTTTATCACGGTGCATGGAGGAAGATCAACAAGGGTTGTCCTTGTCTTTAATTTCAGAGGCCACTTTCCAGTTAGTGGAATAGATCAGATCTGAGAACATAACTGATCCTGAACTGCTTAACATCCGTGGACAGCTGCACAGGCAGGAGCTGGGTAACAATGACATCACCGAAAGAGATGGCATTCTTTATCATAAGGGTCATTTTTTGTTGGGGCACAATTCTGATTTGAGGGAAATGGTGCTGCGAGAGGCACACTCCACACCCGTGGGTGGACATGCGGGTATCACTCGAACCTTCTTGCGTCTTACAGCTTCCTTCTATTGGGTGGGAATGAGGAAGGATGTTAAGGAATTTGTACAAAGGTGTCCTACATGCCAAGTGATAAAAACATCAACTTCTCCTCCAATGGGCTTACTGCAGCCGTTACCAATACCTAATGAGGTTTTTGAGGATTTAAGCATGGATTTCATAGTTGGTTTACCAAATTCTAAGGGATACAATGTTATCTTGGTGGTTGTTGATCGTTTAACAAAATTTGCACATTTTGGGGCTTTGGCTCATCCATACACTGCTGCCAAAGTAGCTTCTCTGTTTTGTGAAATTGTGGTGAAATTACACGGGTTTCCTTGAACTATTGTGTCTGACCGTGATGCCATATTCGTGAGCAAATTCTGGTCCGAACTCTTTAAATGCAGTGGTACAACATTGAGGACTGCCTATCATCCTCAATCGGATGGGCAAACGGAGGTAACCAACCGTTATTTGGAGCAATACATTAGAGCTTTTTGTCATGATGAAAATCATAAGTGGGCTGGAGTTCTTGGATGGGCTGAATACCATTATAATACAGCCACCCACTCTTCTATTGGGATGACACCATTCCAAGCTCTTTATGGCAAGCTGTCTTCCATGATTCCACCCTATCCCAAGGGTTCTGTACGTGTGGAGGCTGTGGATACCACTCTGGTTCATAGGGATGAGTTATTGAGGCGTTTGAAGGCTCACTTGCAAGGTGCTTAGAACAGGATGAAAGCACAAGCCGATAAACACAGACGTGATGCTAGCTTTGCTATAGGAGATCTAGTTTTAGTGAAGTTACAGCCATTTAGACAGATTTCAGTGGCAACCCGAAAGGATCAGAAGCTGGCCAAGAGGTATTTTGGGCCATTTCCTGTGGTCAGGGTATTGAGTCATGTTGCCTATCAAATTGGACTACCAGAAGGGTGTAGAGTCCATTCTTCTTTCCATATTTCGGTGTTGAAGCCTTACAAAGGTGATGGGTCAGTTGTGACTCTGCCTTTACCAGATGACAGCCACGACAACCGTCCTATTCAGAAACCATTGGCTGCATTGATGCATCGGGTTTCTCCAGATGACCAAGGCAATGTGAAGTGGCTCGTTCAGTGGTCACACGCTCTTCCGGAGGATGCCACTTGGGAAAATGAAAAAGATCTCATTGTGAATTACCCTGATTTTTGTCTGCCTAAATTAAACCTTGAGGATAAGGTTTCTATTGCACCAGGGGATAATGATACGGGAGCTGGTAGCAGGCCCAAAAGCAGGAGAATGGTTGGGGCCCCTTTATGGGCCAAAGATTATGTTAGCAAGTTTTAGTGAGTCCATTAAGCTTGTTAGGCATGAGTGGGTTATCATATAAGAACTGTTTAGGAGTTAGGGATGCTAAGATACGTGTAATAAATAGTACCTTGTTGTCATTTGGATATTCATTCTGAAAAATATACATGTTCTCCTTCGTTCCTTTAGGGTTTTCTCTCCCAAATTCACTGTTTTACTGTTGATTCTCCATTAAGGGTTCGCGTCCCTTAACAACTTTCTATAGCAATTCGATTTCGGTCAGTGTTACTTAATATATTTAATGCATTTTGTGCATTCAAGTTGGTCAAAGTTATATATATATATCAAAGTTATATATCCGTAATTACCTGACTTCACGATTATATATATGTCAATGCTAGGGAGTCAGAGGCGTTAGAAAAAGCATGCTTTTATAATGCTTTTATAAGATGTCACGTATTCTTATATATTTGTTGTTATAGGAATCGTTAGTCATATATATATATATATATATATATATATATATATAATAAATATATTTTGTGGCTATATATGGTCATTGAACCAGGTTCGAAATGAAAAAGAAAATAATACCCTATTTCCTTGGAATTTTGGAATATGTATATTGATACTATTATGGTCATTGAACCAGATCTGTGAGTGCATTGGATTCTATTTGTGGTGTGGACCCTTGTGATACCGAGTTCGAGTCAGAGGGACATACGGGTACAGGTAAGTTTTCGTGTCCTCGGATTGATCTGTTGTTTGTTCCACCGACCTCCATGGGAGGGTGGTTTATATGCATGATATGCTTTTATGAAAATGTTATATGCATTGATATATGCTTGAGATATATGAGTATGTCTGTTGATTACTTACACAATCAGACTGCGACTCTGGTGTGTAAGGCATGCAGTGTATGGAAGTGATGTTGTTTACTTACACAATCAGACAGCGACTCTGGTGTGTAAGGCATAAGACTCACACTCTTATGTTTAGACGGGTCGCAGACGTGCATAATCCCTATCCTGTTCCCTGGGCAGTCAAACCGCATTTACATACATCATATGATTACTGAGTTAAATGTTTAGCTCGTTGAGCAAGAGATTACACTGTCATGATTTATATGCTTAACATGAACATGCATTGAAATTACTGTTTTGAACTTATATTATGCCTGTAAGAGAGCTTGGGGCGGAAGAGTCCTTGAGGACCCCTTGCCTTACTGAGATTTCTGTTTAGAGATCTCACCCCACGTTTGGGGCACATTTTTCAGGATCAGGTACCTCGGGGATTAATACCTCGAGGGGCAGGAGGCCGGAGCTGAGTTGAGATTTATGCTTTTATGATGATATGCTTGGATGCTGACATGTTTTACATTTATTATGATGTTATTGGATTTGAGACTCTGTTGGGCTTTGTTGCCATATTTGGTGAGCATGAGGATTGTCCATGCCACATTGATGTTAGTTATGCTTGTAGTTTTGAGTTGTATAAACTATCAGGATGGTCCGGTCTACGTGTTGTAGTTCCGTGACTAGAGACATAGTTACTTAATATATGAGGTATTTTAGTTAGTAGTTTGATTGCAAATTACATACAGGCAATGTTTTGAAAATGATTAAATAATCAACTTGGTAAATGATAATGACGTCATAATTGAAAAAGAAAAATTTTATTCCGTATTTTAATTAAGCGTATCTTAATACGATTGCATGATAACAAACCGGGTATACACGAGGTGTTACACCTTGGGTCCATTTGAATGTTTAGGAATATCCATATTCTTTATTAAAATAAAATAAAATATATTAAAAGTTATATAGATGAAAAGAAATAAAATTAAAAGAACAGAATAAAAATACATTTAAAAGAAACAATCTAATTAAATAAATATCCATGTTCTTCATTAAAATAAAATGCATTAAAAGACATGTAAAGGAAAAGAAATAAAATTAAAGGAAGAATTACATTAAAAAGAAACAAGCTAATTAAATAAGATCAATTATTATCTTCAAAGAAGTCTACAATATCCAGATGTGTAATATCTATGAGGCTCGCAAAATCATCCTCTTTATAAGCAAAATTGGCTTCAGTATCAATTTTGAAGGTCAAATTTGTCTCCAGATTATTTTCTTTCTTCTTGATAAAGCTTGACAAAATTCTGGAGCATGATAGATTCATGCTCAATGGCCTTTCATACCACATCGATAGTAGATATTTTCTTTACTCCTTGAAGAGTTACTTTGAGGGCTTTTATTGTTATTTTATTTATTTTCATAATGGTGTTGATAAATATTTGGCCCCTTGCCTCGACCACGTCTACGTCCGCAATCGCTTCTATGGAGCAGATCCAGTGGGACGAGCTTCGTGATTTTTCATTAGTAGCTCATTATTTTGCTCAGCCACAAGGAGACATGATATCAATTCAAAATATTTCTTAAAACCCTTTTCATGGTACTGTTGTTGCAACAACATATTTGAAGCGTGAAAAGTGAAAAATATTTTTCCAATAAGTCTTCATCAGTAATATTTTCTCCTCATAACTTTAATTGAGAACTAATTTTTAAA